TCCCTTGTCTCCCACTTTGGAGAAATAAAACTTCCCAGATATACCCCTCTCTCTTTGCACCAAACAACCAATAATAATATTATTTCTTTTACTTTAAAAAAATCATAATATTATTTAATAAATTAATATTATAAAGCTGCACATGAAGTTGTCTGAAAATTTTCCATTAGAGTGTGGTCAGTCCATGCAATCCAAAAACAACAAAAAGCATCCATGATTTAACAAAGTAAATACTAAATCCAGATTACATTTTTTATATAAAAGAAATCCACCATGATTCATTTGGTATAGTTAACCTTGTCTAGGTGGGTTGTTAAAAACTTTATCTTTATCTTTATAGTTTATAAATTATTGTTATTTTCATTCTTATATTTTATAATTTATTATTGTTTCAGTTTTTGTGGTTTATAGTTTTTTATTATTTTGGTACCTTCTACTTAAAAAGGTACAAATTAGTTTAGGGATAAAAATAACAATAAATTACAAACCAGAAGAACAAAAACTGCAATTTCTATACTACAGGGAGAAAAATCGTAATTTTTAACAAACCACAAGGATAAAAAACGTAATTTACTCTTAAATAAGTTAATTGGTTTAAAGAGAGAGAAACACAGACAAACTAAGGTTATGTTTGGCAAAGTAACTGATAAGTTACTTGGTAGCTGATAAACTAGTTGATAGCTGATAAACTAGTTGATAGCTGATAAGCTAGCTGATTAGAGGTGTTCAGGAAAACCGTTGGACTGCTTAAACTGATCGAACCAAATCAAACCAGATCTTTTTTTGGCGGTTTGACGATCCGGTCTGGTTTTGAAAAATAGTCAAACCATTTTATTTGTTTTAGTCTGCGGTTTGAAATATTTTTTGGAGTGGTTTGGACCGAACCGACCGTAAAAAATACACATATTAATTATATTTAGTTTGATGGTGTAAGCTTAACTTTTATGGGCCAATTAATAAAAGTTCGTCTACGAAATTATGGTTTTAGTTTTCATTTCTTAATTGATTGCGTTATCTAATTGACAAATTTTTTAAATCCTTCAAGAATAAAATTAAAATTTCCAAATCGTTCTTCGGTTTGCTAAATGTTTGTCCAAAACTATTTTTGGTTGACTTGTTTTAGTTTTTTTTTTTTTTCAATTTGATCAATGTTTTTTCATATATTAGAAATATACATTTCTTTTATAATTCGGTATACTGTTTTTTAATAATGTTATATTGGTAGAAATTCCATTTTTATAGTAATCGGGTTTATCAGTTATAAAGTTTGGGATTGTTTCGAATAATGGTGGTAACTTGAGGGATTTAATTTGTGAATATGCATAAATATTTTTAAAACATTCCACCGCCTCATGATTTTATATTCATATTATGAGATAATTACTTTATCTTATTGGAATGAGAATTAAGAAAAGAAAGAAAAGAGGTTATCGGTTTATGTGTGTGTTTTTGGAGCCCCAAGAAAACTGAAGTAATTGAAGAAGGAAAGAAAGAAATTGATTTCTATGATTAAATTCCTTGTACTTGTTGATGTTTCAATCTTCATCTCTATGATATCATAAGATGAATTTATTTTACAAACTTTCATCTTATCATGTTGATTTGGAACCAAAGGGTTCTTTACATGGGAAATTTATAAAAACTTTTTTTATGCTATGTTTACGATGATTTGGTATTTTGATATGATTATATCAAGTGATGGAAATAAGAGTAACATATCAAAGAGAGATGTATTTTAGGATAAAAGTGACATAATCAGGAGATGTGTATTTTGAGATAAGGGTGACATATGAAGGAGAGATGTATATCAGAATAAGGGTGACATAATCAACAAAATGTAAAACTTGGGTTTTTGGTTTAAGTTGTTAACTGTTGTCACATCCTTATGATGCAATGACTTTGAGTTGTCATATATGTGTGATGCGATGACTTAAGTTATCACATCTTATTGATTAGATGATGGTTTTTTTATCACATCCTTGTGATGCGCGGAATATGTTTGTCACATCCTTGTGATACGACAAGATGAACTTATCGCATCCTATTGATGCAAAAAGTTGGGTTTATCGTACCTATATGATGCAATGAGATGGGGTTTTCGCACCAGTGTCTTGCGAGGAAATGAGGTTGTCTCACCCATGTGATACAAGGAATTTATAATTCATCCTATATGATGCGATGAGTTTTATCATAATGCGATAAATGAGTTGTTTTGACTATTTGATGCAATATTGGATAATGTCTCATCCTTTTGTTATGACAAAAGTGGTTTGTTTCTATTAAACGTTGTTGATTTGTTATCTATACAAATATGGGTTTTGTAAAAGAGTTTTGGTGATTATTCACCTTGTAATAGCAAACAAAAGAATTCTCACTAGACGTCAAGGTCTAACCCTCATTTGTATTTTTAAAATGTGCATTACAGGTCGGGCATAACCGGAAGATAAGGAGAAGGGAAAATTATGAAGAAATTATAATTGCTTGCATGAGATGTTGGGATAATGTGTTATCTTAAATATCTAAATACTTGTTATGTATGCAAGTTTTATATAGGGATTTTGTAGAAAACATTTGTTGCTACTTTTGTAATGTAGCTTTTTGGGACCAGATATGTAAATTATATTTCTTGATAGATGGAGATATATGTTTATAGTGAAATTATGGATTTTAGGGTGTTACAAGTTTGGTATTAAAGCCTGAGTTTAAGAGATTTAGGTATTCAGCATGATGCATATTATTTGCATATTAAGGGTTCCTGATATATGTAGAACCTTTGGAATATATATGATGGGTTAAAAGAACGATATGTAAGGTAAATTCAAATTATAATTGATCAATGTAATCATGGGTTTACATGTACATATTTGTGCTTGGATACCTTATTGTATTTGGGGAATTTGAATATGTAAACATTAAATTATGTAAATTTTCATATAGCAAGTCACTTTAGGAGATCTAAAAAGATCTCTATAACACCCCACATCATACATTGCATGTGACACATACTTCATTCAAAAGAAATACATGTATTACACCACTTAGGTCCCAAAGTACAAGAAATTATCGTACAAAATGCATAGCCCAAAAATTCCAAAATACAAGTTCTTGTACTGATTAACATTCATCTACAAAACTAGATTCATCATAAACTGATCTCTACACAGATATGCATATAGGAAAATATTACATTTCCCCCTTCCCTTTACCTTCATGTAACCTAGCAGTTCCTGCAATACATATTTAGAAAGACAAAATGAGGGTTAGACCGGAAGGTCTAGTGAGATCTTTTTTTCCATGTTATTGCAGGGTGAAGATCATCAAAACTATATTTAAAATTAACTTTTCATGTATTCAAATACATAATCATGTAATTCACATTTACCAGTGCCTTGCTGATTCCCAAAGCCAATCTCTAACTTTATAAGCATAAACAGGCTAGAACCTTTCAGGTTCCACATAACTCATTTCTAAATATTTTCATCATAAACACGGTTATTCAAAGTCTCTGGCCAAAAGCCAGTTATCTTCTTCTCAATAACATCCTTATTACTATTTCCAATAAGAACCATGTTTCTGAATCTTTAAATCACAAAGAAATAAGGACTCAGAGCCATAGTAATATAAAAGAATATAATAGTAAGAGTTATATTAATAAACACATACACAAATGCCACCCTAATATCCAAAGGTACACCTCTCCTTGATATGCCACCCTTATCCCAAAGTACACATCTCCTTGATATGCCACTTTTATCCCAAAGCATACATCTCCTTGATATGCCACCCTTATTTCCTCATCAAAATTTACAGATTATTCCCAATCAAGAAAGACTGAAGTCACAAACGTCCTGATGGAACATCATCTATAGTTTTAACCAAAAAAAGTTTCAAAACAAACATCGAATACTCTTTATTTATCATTTTTAGAAAGAACAATATGCCATTAACATAATCCTACTTTGAATAAAATATTCATTAACTTATCCGACCATCAAAATTGATTTCAGCCGGACTTCATATCCAGTCAACACTTCAATTAAAAACACTAACTCAAGTCTGGTTAAGGAACTCGGACGGGCCTGTAGCCGTATTAGAACGTACCCGGATGGCACGTTAGCCGGATTAGAACATACCCGGACGACACGTTAGCCGAATTAGAACACGTATCCGGACTGCATGAACAACCAGATGGGAATGCGTATCCGAACAACATTGTAACCTGATGGGAACGTATCCGGACGGTACTACAACCGGATTAGGACGCGTATCCGGACGGCACTATAGCCGGACTAAGACGTTTCCGGACGGCGCTATAACCGGATTAGCATCATCAAAATTCCACTAACACCTTCTCCGGTCAATACAGTGACTGAGATTAAACTTAATCCGGTCAATACATTTTTAAGAACAAAGCATAACTCGATAAACCAAAGATGAAATCATATATAACACATGCTTAAAAACACTCAATCTTTAAAAGTATGAAGAAATCCAATTTTAGATCCAAGTCAAAGCAAGCAATCTGCATATAACTCTCTCCCAAGTTCCCCAAATGGCAAGAAAAGCTTAATTTTGAATCTTTCCTCATATTTATACCCCTTTCCATAAAAGGAAAGGCGGCTACACATGCATACATATTAACTCATACATACATAAAATATATTTACTTTTCATGGATGCATATATTAATATACTCATGCATAATTAACCTACATGCTATGCATACTTTCATGCATGCATTCATATTATGCATATATTTTCCATGCATAAAAATACATATACTCTCATGATCAAATATAACAATTTATCATGCATTCACGTAATTATTTATCAAATAATCACATATTAATTACCTCTGGTGATAACCAAGACCCGGTTATCACATTATCCACCCCTCAAAAGAATTTCATCCTAGAATTCCTTTGATCAAAAAGCCATGGATACTCAATTCTCATTTCTGATTCCAATTCCCAGGTTGCCTCAGATCCCTTGTGATACCGCTATTGAACTTTTACCAGACTGATCTCTTTATTCCACAGAACCTTGATTTTTCGATCAGTTACTGCTTCTGGGGTTTTTACAAAATTCAATTTACTGTCTAGCCTGACTTCTGGTAGAGGGACTGCCAGACTTGGATCTGCCAAACACTTCCGCAGATTAGACACATGGAAAGTGTTATAAATCAAACTAAGCTCCTCTGGTAATTCCAGCTGATATGCAACCATTCCGATTCGCTTACAGATTCTGAATGGCTCGATATACCTTGGACTGAGCTTACTTCTCTTACCGAATTTGACTACCCCTTTCCATGGCGAGACCTTCAGCATCACATAATCCCCCACAAGGAACTCAACTGGCTTACGATGTCTGTTAGCATAGCTCTTCTGACGGTCTTGAGTTATTCTAATCTTTTCTCTGAATTGCTCAATCTTCTCAGAAGTGACTTGAACAATTTCCGGCCCAGTTAATTTTGTTTCACCCACTTCATTCCAACACAACGACATTTACACCTGCGACCATACAGAACTTCATATGGTGCCGCTTGAATGCTGGAGTGATAACTATTGTTGTAGGCAAATTCAATTAACGACATATGATCTTCCGACAATCCCCAAAAATCTATAACACAAGCCCTCAACATATCTTCAAGAGTCTTAATTATTCTTTCACTCTGTTCGTCAGTCTGTGGATGATACGCCGTGCTCAACCGAATATCAGAACCCAAAGCTTTCTGAAAACTTTCCCAGAATTTTGAGGTAAATCGACTATCTCTGTCTGAAATGATAGACAATGGAACCCCATGTCTATCTGGTCACGATATCTTTATTATAAATCTTTGCCAATCTTTCTAACGGATAATTCTCTTTTATTGGAAGAAAAGTGCACAGATTTTGACAGATGATCCATAATCACCCATATGGCATCATATCCGTTTGGAGTTCGAGGTAACTTCATTATGAAATCCATTGTGATATGATCCCACTTCCACATAGGAATTTCTAATAACTGTAAATTTTCATATGGTCTTTGATGCTCAGCTTTCACTTGCAAACATGTCAAGCATCGTTCCACATATCTTGCTATGTCTTTCTTTAATCTAGGCCACCAATAAAAAAGTTTTAAGTCGTTGTACATTTTATTGGTGCCAGGATGAAGAGAATACCGAGATTTAAGACTTTCGTTCAAGATAATTTCCCGGGTATTCCTATAGCACGGTACCCATATTCTACCTTGAAAACATAGAAGTTCTTTATCATTCTTTTCCAAGGTAGAAATCAACTTACCCAATCATTTAGACTTGAAGTTATCTTCTTTGACAGCATCCCCTACCACTTTACAATCTCACCGTGAATGTAACACTCGAGTTTTTCCCGTATTCTCTGTTCCGTTCACGTCAAGGAATTTCGTCTCGTTAGTGATATTTATGTCTTATATTAAAAGTTTATAACCCTTTTTTTAATAAGTTTTCTTTTTATAGAAAAGGTGAAAGGGGGGGGGGTAGCAGTCTTAAGACTTTACTTTGTCCTACCTTTATAAAAGAAAAGAAAAGAAAAGCTGGGAAGTTAGGTTACTTCTTCTACCTTCATCGAGAAAAAAAAAGGAAAATGAGAAAGGGGGGGGGGAACCGCTGGTCTGAAGAAGAGACAGTCGTAGCTGTCTAGTGGTAGAAGAAGCAGCCGTGGCTGCTAGTGAGAAGAAGAAGCAGCAGTGCAGCTGCCTGGTTAGAAAGGGAAACAGCCGTGGCTATTTGGTGAGAAGAAGAAGCAGCAGTGCAACTGCTTGGTTAGAAAGGGAAACAGTCGTGGCTGTTTGGTGGGAAGAAGAAGCAACCGTAGCTGCCAGGATTGAAGAGGAAACAGCCGCAGCTGCTGTTTGGAAGGAAACTTGAAACACCGTAGCCGCTGTTGGGCGTAAAGAACAGCCGTAGCTGCTGTTGAGCAAGAGCCATAGCTACTGTTGGGCGTGAACCGTAGCCGCTGTCGGGCGTAAAGAACACCGTAGCTGCTGGTTTGGAGTTGAACAGAACACCGTGGCTGGTCTGTTTTTGACCAGCTCCGAGGGCCGCTGCACCACGCCAAACTGTCGCGCCTCGCCTGGATCATCTACGCCATCTCTCATATTCCTTTTGTCATCATTAGTTGCTGTTCCGTGAGAAGGGGGCTGCTTTTGATTCAAGATCTCCTTTCCACTTTCAATCCTTGTTCCTAAATTTTCAGGATTTTCCTTAAATCCTGCAAAGTGAGTTCATTCTATCCCTTTATGGAATTACATACATGATGATGTGAATATGTTAACTTAGCCTATAGTTTAATTTTATGATTTTACAAGTTGGGATGGAAAAGGTTATTTTAGGTCTAAATGGGATTGAGTTTTAGAAAAATGGTTACGACCGCTTGGTAAAATGCTTAATTTAAGGCACTTTATACTAGAGGACCCTAGTACTCTTACGTTTTATATCTGGTGATCGTTAATGGTAGTAGAGGAATACTTCCCTAATGGTGGACTCACACATATTCTTGATGTTGAAACAATGTTATATATGCCTAACGTTAGTTATCCAAGTATCTGATCAGAATGTGGTAAATCTATGAATTCGGAAGTTGTTTTATTTTATGTTGCATGAGGGATGGTGTAAGTTGGCGGTAGGCATTGTGATTATTATATAACCTCCAAATCATCCTCTCACTACCACTCGAAAATAGGCATTGCGATTGTTGCGTAATTTTGGAGATAAAGAGCTTAAGATCACGACCGACTTCATGACTGGGTCAGGTTGATGTTGATGGAATTATTCCTACAAGTGATGCTCTATAACGTTAAGATATGACTTACTTTGTTTTCCGTCATAATTAACGGTAAATCGGGTCTCCCCTGTCACTTTCTGATGTTTGGCCCCACTTCAGAACTTTAAGGATATATTGGTTCATCCAATACTGTTTAATGTTATGTTATATATATATATATATATATATATATACATTTAAAGGTCTAATAGTTTAATTTTTACTATTTGGACTCACTAGGCGTAAGCCTAACACTTCTTATATATTGACATGTATGTCAGGTTCCTTTAGTGGCGGGGATTCAAAGGGTTGAGGGGAGCGTTGGTTCGTGATTTTTTTTTTGGGAATTTAGCCTTTGGTGCTTGAGCGTTGCATTGGTTATCAATACGTTAATTTTGGAAGATGAGAAGAACACCCGTCTTTAATCTGATCATAAAATTGTATTAGATTAGTAGGTTGTTTTCATCGTCTCAATAGTCGTCTTTCGTGTAAACGCTACACTACTCCCCGTTGTTGGGTGATATCTTCTTATGACTTAGTTTCTATCATTTATTTTGTTTAGACCCAATCTATCTCATATATATATATATATATATATATATATTTATGTTCATATAAATAAATTCTTAATTTTAATCTTTTTTTTTGGGTGTTAGAAGTTGGTATCAGAGCTCTATTTAAGCGAACTAGGTAAGGAATTAAGGCGCCTAGACTTAAACTGAGACTGTAAGTTTTAATTTGTGAGATATGGGTAGAAACTTTTAAGATAGGAGAACTTTAGTGTCATCAGAGTTACACAATTCATGAATTGTGGCGATGGTGTTGAGGATTCTTATGTATAACCTATTCGAAATTTTACTTAGCTAATGATATTTTGAGTATGTTGTTACATAATTGTCCTTGAACTCACTGTTATTACAAGAATTTATGAATGGGTTGGTACGTGTTAAGTTAATTCCGTATTCTTCGTGTCCTAACTCTTTTTCACTCCCATGTATGACAGACGATAATGGTGAATACTCGAAGTAGACGGGATACATCACCAGAAGGTCACGCGGTGACTGAATCTACTATGGATCAACCGCCACGAACCACCTTTGCAAGGGTTCATCCTAGGCAAGACGCTTTGGGAGGTGGAGTTAAGCCGGTCCCCCAAGTCGACCTTGCCACCTCTAACCCCGTAATGGAAGAAGAAACCCCGGAATCAAGAATGATGGGCACAATGATGAACGCTATGAACAGAGCTATGGCCCAACAACAAGAGTTCTTTATGAAGTTGTTGGAGGATAAAGATACTATCAACCGTAAACATGAAGCAGTTGGCGAGAATATAACTATTGGAGGATCTGGGGGTACCGAAAATGGAATCACAACCAAGGAGTTAGCAATGATTGAGGCAAGACAAATGAGTAGAGTTTGCTCTTACAAGACCTTTCTATGTTGCAAACCACCAAAATTTGTGGGGTCGGATGATACTGTGGTGTGCATGAACTGGCTTCGAGAGATCGAGCAAGCCTTCCGGGCATGTGACTGCGATGAGGGGCAAAAAGTGAAGTTTGTCTCTCAAATGCTAAGGGGTGCAGCCCTTACCTGGTGGAATATTGTCATCTCAACCATAGAAGTTACAGAATTGGCCAAGATGAGTTGGGCCACGTTCAGAGAGAAGGTGATGAAAGAATATTGCAATGAGCAAGAGATGGACCGCATTGAAGAAGACTTCCGAACCTTAAAGAAGGGAAATTTTTCGGTAAGAGACTATACTCGACTCTTCATGGAAAAGTTAAATTTAGTGGGGCATGTGGCCCCAACGGAGAAGGAAAGRATGAAAGCCTACCTCAAAGGGTTGCCTGCAGACATGATGGTGATGGTCAAAAACTCTAGAGCCTCCACCCTTAGGGAGACGATCGAAGAGGCAAAGGTCATGGAATCAGTTTATGCTAAAGGGAAAGAAGAGAAAATGTCAAGTGGTGAGAAGAGGAAGTGGGAAGGATGTTATGCGCCTTCCAAAAGGCCAAACCAATTCAACAGCAGTAATCCCGGAACCTATCCTAGACAAGAGGCTTGATGGTATCCCAAGTGCCACATTAAACATGACGGCCCGTGTATCACCAACTCTACCCCTGAAAAATGCTTTAAGTGTGGGAAGGCAGGCCACACACGAAATGAGTGTCTGATCAAGGGACCCATATGTTTTGGATGTGGAGAGCCGGGTCACTTCAAGAATGATTGTCAAAAGTTAAAAGCGGGGGGAAGTCAAGGAAGAAAAGAGAGCACCCCGAAAGCAACCGGTCGAGCCTTTCAGATGTGGAGTGAAGAAACTAAGGCATCGACGGATGTAGTGTCGGGTACGTTCCTTATTAACTCCGTACTTGCACACGTGCTTTTTGATTCGGGTGCTTCATGTTCCTTTGTGTCCACTACATTCCATCAACACTTACATACGCCCCCTAGTGCACTAGAAGATGCGTTGATCATAGAGATAACTAATGGTAGTCAAGTTCTGGTGTGTGATATTTTTAGGAGTTGCGTGTTGGGAATTGAGGGAAAGGAATTTCGGGTAGACCTCATACCCATGGCTATAGGTGGATTCGATGTCATAATTGGGATGGACTGGTAGAGAACCAAGCGAAAATCTTATGCTCTAAAAAGTTGATTCGAATCCCTTTGCCGGACGGGGACACAATGCTAGTTTATGGAGAAAGAAGGAAAGGAAATGTAGT